CCCTCAATTGTGCCCACTTCCCCCCACATCTTAGTGTCATCAGCAAACTTGAACAGGGTGCTTTGCACCCCCTCGTCCAAATCACTGATGAAGATATTGAACAGTGCAGGCCCAAGGACCGAGCCCTGTGGGACCCCACTTCCCACGTCCTTCCAGGTCGAGAAGGACCCATCCACTACCACTCTCTGGGTGCGACTCTCTAACCAGTTGGCAACCCATTGGACTGTATGGGTGTCTATGCCACAGTCCCCCAGCTTCCTAATGATAGTTATCCTGATGCAGAGTTAATTAGTTTATTCCAGCCTAATAGGGGCGCATGTGCAGATACACAACATTTACTACAGAGGTAATTAGTCTACTCTGCAGTAAATGTTTTGTGTAGATGCACCCAGTGATACATTACTACCTCCCTTTGATCTTCACTCAGGGTTGAGACCTTCACTGTAACAACTGTACTTAGCTTTTAAACATACTTATCGTGGACTAAGCCAAATGCCATTAAGACACCAGCGCAGAAAATTAATTTTTATCCTTCCTATTTGAGGTGACAGGCACACTTGTATTCTTACCACCATCACACCAAGAAAGAACCTAATGAAAAGCTGGACTTGATCACTTGCTGTTTAATACATCTAGTTTCAACATTTATGGTGAGCAGGTAATTTAAGTACATGTAATGAGAATGCAGTTATCCCACTTTGTTTCTGTAAAACACCAGTTAAAAATATAACTCTCAAAAACAAGTGTGCTGTGTGACTACTAAACTAATATGCATGTTCAGGACCTAATTTTGTTATGGATCATTCATATGAGAGGACTACCAGCAGCACAGGACTCCTGAATATCACCTGAAAGCAAGAGCAACACAAGGATGAATGTCATTGTAAGCATGTTGGTACCTTTTGAGGTCTCAGGCACACACCAAGCTTAGTAGGTAATGGATTCACATCTGAGTGCAGTTTGGTTTAAAAAGTCCTAAAGCCTGGACTTTTCATCACGATTATAAGTGGGCTCTCTCTCAAATATGAGCCACAGTATTCCTCTAAGGAAGATCGTCCATCACTCATTTGGTGGTTTTGTGTTTTTACATGCACTGGCAGAAAGCGAGTTAGCTGGCACAAAACAAGCATTTGCATTTAACAAACACATTTTACTAAAGAGACTGCCAAAAGGGCACAGACTGCTTATAAATGACTGCAAACAAATTTAACCCGTTTGGAAATGGCAGCAATATAATGCAATTTTAGCAAAAGAAAGAAAACATAAATATAATTCAGATTTGGAACTTGGGCTTTATTAAAATGTTTCCATATGCTATGCATTGTTGTAGATATTAAGCAAATTGCAGACCAGCTAAACTTCATTAAAGTCCTGGAAAGCAGGAACTACAGGCATCAGTGTAAGAGCCCAGCCACTCAACATGTTACTCACAGGAGCTCTTTAATGATAGATGCAACACACCAAAGCATTATAGTGGCAAATTATTACTGTAGGGGTGGGGAGGGAATGACTTTTGTGCACTTACAAAATAGACACTTCCCAATAAAAATTAACTGGAAAGTCCTGAGCTCTATGGAACTATATCAGATGATCAGCTCTGTTGCAAGGTACATACTTTATTTAAAGTATAAGAAAGTTACAGACAACATGTTTACCTTAATACATATTTAAAACAAGTTATTTATTTGTTTGTCCCATATTCTGCTCCTCCAAGGGAAGGGGCCAGGGGAAAGAGACTGACTGTCTTTTGCCAAGTCTGGCTGGAAACCTAGAAATAGCTTTGAGTCAGACCTACTATCCATCATAATCTGATCATTTCCAGTAAAGATTTAAATCTAAAACTGTAAGAATTCTTATGTACTCAAGTGTTGTTGTAAATGAAAATTTTAATTTGGCATGGATATTAAAAAGCCACAGCCAAGGAGTGCCAGCAAGATGTAGCTTATATTTATGTAACTACATAAAGTAAAACAGTGCTGCAGATTTCATAAGATCACGCACACAGGGACTGGAGCCACTTGAAAAGCACATTTAAGATTTGAGGGGAGAAGAGAGGACCTTGAAGTGACAGACATATTAAGACACGGGGAAAATTGCTTAAGCACATTCTATTAAGAAATAATTAAAAGGCTCCTACCCCACTTTTCTAATCCTATATGCTTTTTTCCATCACAAGCAGGTTAAAAAAAAAAGTCTCTCAAACATTAAAATCTCAAATAAAGAGCAACAAAAAACTTTCACTACCAATTTTTTTTTCCCCACTACCAAATTCTTTTCAAAGTGCTTCATGCATCAAGGTCACTTGTGACTTAGCAAAAATGCTTTCCTTCTCAGGAAAGAGTTGTTCATACTAACAAAGCATGAAGGCCAAAAAGCTAATAAGTTTCCAAGATATTTTGTATGCAACACTGATCCAGTGACTTCACTTTTAAAAAGAGAGAGGAAGAAAAACACTGAACAGGGAACTTTTCCCCCAAAGCAATACCATTCCATATACAGAAGCCACCTTTTCTACACAATTTCTTATTCCAAACATTTTTTCAAAATATTCTGATGAATTTTCTTCTTGGTGATCTACATTTAGGTTTGGTCCTACGCAGGTCTTTATTTCAGTGCCTGAAACTATCCCCATTCTCCACTGGGGAGGAAAGGGTATTATTATTATTTTGCCTACAATTTGGAGGGGAAGAAGAAGTTTAAAATAACAGGACAAACATTTTAAATTTCCAATTAGTATTAAATCTGAATTCATCTTTATTGGGTAAAGAGATCTTCAAAAGTTAAAGTTTACGTTATTTACAAGCAAATATACAATGCAAGATTAAAATATCACATAACCATTACATTAGTGCACCAGAAACATTTTCATTAGGTGATTAGGTAGATTATTCTGCCTCTACATCCAAGATGATACAGAGGTAGCTTCCTTCTGAACCTAGTATAAAGAGTAATTGAAAAAGAATTACACCATTTACTGAAATTTGAAAGTACACGTTTATTAGTCAGCCACCTGCAGCACAATGAACAAGAGATTTTAAACTAATTACCAGAAACCAAATACAAGTAATGGCCATGTCTGTAGCCTCTTAAAAATCAGCCAATTAGTAATCAGGCAATTAGTCCTACACATATCGTTTGTGCTGTTTCCTATGCATACGCCAGCTTTTTTGAACACTGAACTTAAGTCTAGAATCCCTCCTTCCTGGAAGACATTCTCCATCTTTGCATACTGTTCCTGTCCTTCCCATGCTGCCCTTCCCCAAATGCCTCCCTTGCCAAAGGACTCCAGGAGATTACATGAACACTGTGTTTAAGAGACCTGCAAAATCCCATTGTATAAAACTCAGTCTTAAACAGGCAGAACTTGCGTAAACATGTTTCATTTAGTTCCAGGGCCTCTGACATACTGCATGCTGGGTAAGGACAAGTCTAATCAAATAAGAATCTTGAGATCTGCCATCTAGGATAATTTGCCAAATAGGGAACTAAACCCAAGTGGGATTATTTTTCACAAGCAATTACAAATCTATATTCGTGTTAGCAGTCCAATAAAACTACAGCTTTCTAGCAACCCACTGTATCTTTCAAGTGACGTTTCAGCATGCAGAATTGTTCCAGTGATGCTGGCTCAAACAAAAAACTTCTCTGTAAGCCCAAGTGGTTGGCTGACGCAGAAGTATGCTTGCCCCCAAGTTAAAAGACTAGTTGAGCCCCACATCATAATGGATGCATGATTAAGCTTTCCAAAATAGCAACACTCCAAAAATGGCTCAAGACAGGCCCTTTGGTGTGCTAAGCCTCTCTTTAAATAGCCATGGTAGGAGTTCCAGATTTCTTCCAGTACTCCTCACTCAGAATTTGAATGCATATTTAGTTTTAATGCTAGTCAGCAGCTGGAAAAGAGGGAAAACTTTCACTGAATTGAAAGCAGAAAGGCAAACCACCTGTGGATGAGGAGTCGTAACATGTTACTTCTTTACATGAACACATCCCAAAAGACTCACGGAAACTGTGGCCACACTTACACATGTATTTTTTGGGGGCCAGGGAGGGACAAAAGATAGTTGACTGATAATTAGTGGTAACAGTTTCAATTTCAGACTTGTTTTCTCATGAAAGGATTTGCTTCCAAAACCTGTTCAGAACAGGAGGGTGCAGGTACAAATATTATTTTTAGGAGGGAGACAAACATGTCAGATGCAAAATCAGTGGGAAAAAGATTGGCTGTCAGAGGGAGATGAAAGTGCCTCTTTGCCCCACCCTACAATCAAGTAATTCTCTGTTATTCTCTCTCATTTCCCTGGATACTTTGGGATTCCCAAACTTGTGTCTTCTCCTTCACCCCATGCCATGCTGTCCCATTGGCAACCTTACCACTCATACCGGTTTCTTTTGCAATGCCTCCCTCCCTCCTTCTTAGTCCTTGGTTATATTTACCAAAATACTTTCACAGAAAGGCGCATAGTCCTAGGAAATGCTTGCCATCCAAAATGAGGGAATGACTGAACCATGAGCGAAGGCTCATTTGTTCTTGCTCAGCCACTGGAGCCCCCCTACCATCCCCACTGTCAATTATGTGGTCCGCAGTCAGTCAGGTCAGGGGCTAGGGTGAAGAGCGGACTCAAAGCTTTTTTTAAACCCAGCTTTGACCAACATTCAGAAGCAGCAAAATTAGTCTCCTCTGGTTATACAGCACTTACGAAGAGGGCTGTAAAAGCTGTCAAACTTTATGGTCGCTGCTGATTTACAATCTCAATTTTTACTTAAAGCTGCTCTGCCTTTTGAAGAACCAGCTTTCATGAACGGCCCACTTGGAACACAAGGCAGGAAGCTCCTTCCTATGTTCGAGCTGACACAAGTCAGCTTATTTTCATTGAAATATCAAGACTTAAAAACTTTAAAACTTCTTTACAGCTTCATTTGGAAGCCTTTATAAGAGATTAGTTAATATTGCCATCATTAACTGCTATGACCAAGAGTTCAGTGGATTAAAGCAGGAACTGGCATTATAGTAGTACACAGGCCATAAAGCTGCTTCCCCTTTGTCCCTACCTTGCTCTACTGATTTAAAATTAAGTGCACTAACAACTTCTAAATGAAGGGGCAATAAGTATGTATCTAGTGTACCAAGTAGGTCAGTTTACAAAGAGTGCTCACTTAAGTTAATCATGGAGACTGCCTTCATTTCTTCTGATATTTATCACTAGCTTCTATTTATCAAGCCAAAACTGAAATAGTGGGTCCAACAAGTAGGTATTATTTGGGGATAAGCGTTACACTGTGCTCCTGGGCACAGGCATTTTCAGCATCCATGCTATGGCATTCATAATCAGATTCAAGGTCTTTAAATCTCCAGGATTTTTTTTTTGTTTTGATCAACATGAATATGTTTTGCAATTGCTTCACAAGGTTTTACATGTCCATTATTATCTGTCAGTAATGGACAGGCAAGGCACAGAGACCCCCTTCCTCCTGTGCTGGATGTACTGTACAGTTCCACTGCAGGAGACACTTCAGCTTTCAGCACATGGGGGCCTCCAGGCCTGAACGGCTGAGGCAATATTTGGTAAAAATTAGAGGTTAGGTTCCAAAAGCAACCTGCAGCATAGTAAACACACAAGTTCTCCAGTACGATTAACTTTCCTGCCAAAACATGACATCGGAAATGTATTGGGATTTCTAATCAATCTGCTTATACAATACAAATCAAAGAACTTTCCTGCAGCTCTTTCCACGGTTTTGCTATCACATACCTTATTGATCTCTGGGAACAATTCTTGTATCCCGATATCCAATAGAACATAAGTCAGCTAAAAAAATAAAAAAAAATAAAGCAACTCTCAGAGTCAAGGTCAGTTCTTGTGACAACACTAAGACATTGAAACTGTTTTGATAGTCTGTATTAAACTGTGAATCTGTACCTTACCTGGGGGTAAATAAAATATATCTGAAAATCTTTATGAAACACTGAAAACAAACAGTTTTTAAGTACCTGTTTGTTAAGCACCGGCTGCTGCATTCCATCGAATAGAAGCCTGATACCTTCATACTTCGCCTCTTCTCCAATGCATTTGGATATCAAATCTAAGTCAGATATGAACATTTGTGCTGGTTATGAGAAGGCATTATAAATTAATTAGGTCATATGTGAAGTAATGCCTGGATAAAAATTAAATACAAGTCAGTATGCTATAGATCTGCTGCAAAATAGAATTTAAGTGCCAACTGAGTCTGAGTTATTTCTTTTTATTAACTATACAAGAGTTAGGTACATTCTCTACTAATAAGTTGCATGAGATCTAGAGCTAGAACTTATTTCTATGACCTCGTGAGATGAAAAAAATAATCCTTTGTTATCCAACCCACTGCACAGGATTTTTTTTTTAAATCCCTTATTATTCCAAGACTTAGAGAACAGAAAAGCAAACTCAAGTTTAATGCCCAGTACTTTGTTGATTGAAACCTGAAGTGGTTTTTGTACTGATTTCAGGAGCTTCAATGCATGCAGGGAAAGTGCAGCTCAGCTCTCTCTCTTTTTTTCCTTTTCACTGAGGGTCCTTTTTTCACCCAACTTCAAACTGGGCTCTGTGAGCAAGAAACATGAAAGACTTAAGACAAGCAAATCACACCTCAGCTAGATTAACTACACAGGATTTGTTTTGATCACCAGTGTCATCAGGGCTGCCCCTTCCTGTACAGAAGTGGGACACAATAGCCCTAAAACCATGCCTGTCAAGTGTTCAGCCTAGCTCTTCTCGTAGAAACTCCTTCAGCTTCCCTGTGCAGCTTGTTCCATTGTACTACTGCTCAGAGAATAAAGATGTTTATTTTTAATTAACTCTGAATCTGCTTTCCAGCAGGTTACATCCTTTGCCCAGGGAGAACAGCAGCTCCCCTCTTCAACACAGCAGTTTTCAAGTATCTGAAACCTTGTATCATGTTCATCCTTAATGTCTTTTTGCTGAACCAAGTCTATTTAAGTTCTCACCTTTTCCTCAGATGACTTGGACCCTCTCCAGTTCATAGATTTCATAGACATTAGGGGCTGGAAGGAACCTTAAGAGATCATTTTGCCCAAGCCCCCTGCCATAGGCAGGAAGTTAGCTGGGATCAACTGATCCCAGCAAGAAATATATCCACCTGTTTTTTGAAAGAGTCCAGAGCAGGTGTTTGCACCACCTCTGGGGGAAGTTTGTTCTAGACCCTGGACACACACACTAAAGAACTTTTTTCTTATATCCAGTCAAAAAAAAAAAAAAAAAAAAAAAATCGGCCTTCCTGGAGTTTATGGCCGTTAGACTTTATTACCCCTTGTGGAGCTCTAGTGAACAGCTGTTCTCCCAGGTCCTGATGTACCCCTCTTATGTAACTGTAGACTGCCACCAAGTCCCCCCTGAGCCTGCTCTCCTCCGGACTGAAGAGCCCCAAGTCCCTCAGCTGCTTCTTGTACTGCCTGCCCTCCAGGCCCTGGATCACACAAGTGGCTCTCCTCTGGACTTTCCCAAGCTTCTCCACATTCTTCCCAAAGTACTGGATGCAGTACTGCAGCTGTGGTCTCACCAGGGCCCAGTAAAGCAGGAGGATGACTTCCCTGGTTTTGCTTCAGATACATCGGTGGATGCACGCCAGAGTTTGGTTTGCTTTGCCAGCCACAGCATAACATTGGTGGCACAATGTTCACCATCTTGTGGTCAATCAAGACCCCCCAAGTCCCTTTTGGTCATGGTGCTAGCAAGCATAGCACCATCAAGCCTGTAAGTAAGCTGGGGGTTCTTCCTACTGAGGTGCAGCACTATACATTTCTCTGCATTTGTAGCAAGAAACCCTTTTGTCTGTCGCCCCC